CTACCGGTGCAAAGGTTTCATCAAAATCTATTCCTTCTTCTTGAGAGTATCCTTTTGCAACGAGCCTTGCTTTATTCCTAACAATCACGCCTTCTTCGTTTTCTTTGTTCCGGAAGACCCATTTAGTTCCTACAACATTGTGGTTCATTGGTCTTGGAACAAGTTCCCAAACGTCATTTCTTTTGAATTGATCGAGTTCCTCTTGCATGACGTCAATCCAACTTGGATCATTTAGAGCTTCGTCCACTTCTTTTGGTTCAATCTGAGATAGATAACATGTGAACAATGCTTCCATGGTAGATGATCTTGTTTTCACGCCATCTCGAACATTTCCGATCACTAATTCTGGTGGGTGATTTTTGAGCCATCTTAAGTCTGGTTCAAAAGGGTGCATGGTGCTGGGTGGATTTACTGGTTGAGAAGAGGTAGCACTGGTTCGAATTTCTACTTCATTTTCTAGATTTCCAACTTCTCCAGTAATTGCATCCAAGGGCTGATTTGCAATTTCCACTTCAACTTCATTCCTGGGTTGATTAGCAATTTCAATACCAATTGCATCCCTGGGTTGATTTGCAATTTCAATACCAATTGCATCCCGCACTTCATTTCTTACTGGATGATGGATGGGATTTTCTAGAGAATTAGTTTCCAACTCATCCATTCCCTGCAAAATATTTTCTTCACACGTAACATCAGTATCACAAAAATCAATATGACACTCGTTACCATTTTGATCAATATTTTTGCCATTTTCGTCCAGAGCATCAGTATTGACGTGTGATTTTTCATCAAATACCACGTGTATGGATTCTTCAACCACCATTGTTCTTTTGTTCAATACTCTGAATGCTTTGCTGGTAGTCGAATATCCTAGAAAAATTCCTTCATCTGCACGCTCATCAAAAGCTTTTAGATGCAATTTATCGTTAATATGAATAAAGCACTTGCATCCAAAAATATGAAAATAACCAATATTTGGTTTTCTCCCTTTATATAGCTCATATGGCGTCTTGCTATACTGCTTATGGATCATGCTTCGATTTTGAGTATAACAGGCAGTGTTGATAGCTTCCGCCCAATATCTTTTCGGGAGACCGGCTGCACTAATCATCACTCGTGCGGCTTCTTTAAGCGTCCGGTTTCTTCTTTCGGCAACACCGTTTTGTTGTGGTGTTCTAGCGGCAGATAATTGATGAGAAATTCCATGTGAATTGCAAAAAGCTTGTATAACTCCATTCACGAACTCGGTTCCACGATCGGTTCGGATTTTTGATATTTGCAATTCTTTCTCATTTTGTAATTGCTTCAACAGCTTCGGCAACATTTGTTCAACTTCATTTTTCTTCTTGAGAAACACGGTCCAAGTGTACCTGGAAAAATCATCAACAACAACAAGAGTATATTTCTTACCACTTACACTTATTGGATCAACCGGTCCAAATAAGTCCATGTGTAGCAAGCTTAGCGGTCTTGATGTTGATTCGTGCGTCTTAGACTTGAATGATGATTTGATTTGCTTTCCGCGTTGGCATGCATCACACACTTGGTCCTTCTTGAAGATAATACTTGGTAGTCCTTCAACTAGATTTTTCTTTGCAAGCTGATTGATGGTCTTGAAGTTTAAATGGTTGAGCTTTTTGTGCCATTCCCAATTTGCTTCATTCGAATTTCTGGCCATTAAGCATACTGAATCTTTGCTTGTGCTCCAATCAACAATATACATATTCTTTCGCCTTTTTCCAGTGAGCACAACTTCATTTGAGAGCTCATTTTTGATTAGGCAATTATCTTTGGAAAATTCCACAAGATAGCCTTTATCACAAAATTGACTAGTGCTCAACAAATTGAATTTTAGACCTTCAACAAATGAAACATCTTCGATCTTCAAACCATTTCTTTCAATTGTACCAACTCCTTTTGTAGTTCCATAATTTTGATTTCCTCCAAATATAACTTTTGGTCCATCGATTTTCTTGAAATTCACTAGACATGATTTATTTCTAGTCATGTGGTGTGAGCAACCACTGTCGATGTACCAAACATCCTACAAAAAAGATTAGTTGGTTTTAGGTACCCATACTTGCTTGGGTCCTTTGCTGTTAGTAATTTTTGGTAACCAAACCCACCTTGATCCTATTGAATTAAGATAAGGCGTGATGGGGTGAGAACCCCGGCCCAAGAAAAGAGGCCCAGAAAGGAAGGACCAAAGAGGGAGGCCCAGTTCAGAGCCCGGAAGGGCGGCCCAGTGCCAAATAGGGACGAGGAGTCGGTCCAGGCCCGGCCCAGAGAGCCGTTGAGGGAGCCTTCAGAACAGTCAAGACAAGGAGCCGTTGAGGCATTAAAAGTCGGACTCGGTCCGACAGTTACTAGCCAGAGAGAGCCGTTGGCAGAGTCTGTAACGTCGCCCAACGGCACGGCACATTGAATGTAATCTTTAAGTCAGCCATCATGAGCCTTTAAGTCAGTAGAGGAGGAGTCACTATAAAAAGGGCTCCTCCACCCTTGTAAGAGGCAGAGGGGGAGAACCCAGAGAGGGGAATAGAAAGCACTATTGAGCATCATACTTCACTAAAAAATCTAGACTTTTTGTGAAAGATGTATCCTCCAGCTTAAGGTTGTGTTGGACCTCCTTGGGCCCGAAAACCCAAAAAACCATCACTGGCGCCGTCCGTGGGGATCGAAACGAAGAGTCGCGTGCCTTCTGAGCAAAGCGGGTCCGAGAGATCATCGAGAAGAGTCCTGGGCGTGGGGAATTGAAAGACTTTACCATGACAGGAAGCCAAGAGCAATTGAGCCAACGCAATGGGCTAGGAGCCGACCTAAGAGATCAATTGAATCGAAGAAGCACCCGAAGCCGGGAAGACGACGCAACACCACCACCAACACCGCAGGTAAATCCACAGCCGACTGCGGTACCACTCACCCCGGATCAACTACACGCAATAGGACGCGCTTTTGCCGAGGCAAGTCGGGGAATACGGGAGCAATCCGCTACTCGGATACCGCAACAAGACCCCCCGCAGCCGCGAAGGCCGGACAATCGACAATCAACCCGCCGGGCGGTGAGTCAACCCGTCCAGTCCGTTCATTCTCGGCTAGGCCCTGGTGTCGAGCGACGGTCGGCGAGAGAACGGCTGGGACGAAGAGAACCCCTCCGCGCTCCGGTAGAAACTCACGGTCGGCAGAGCACACGTGAGCGTAACCGTGCGGGGAAAGGCCGGACGGTGGCTCGCCGCGTGGGGCAGCCCGCCCGAGACCACGATCAACCCGCCGAGTCAGAGGTTGGCGAAAGCGCGGAATCGACAGGTAACCACACCCAAGAGAGGGTCGAAATGGCCAACCTAGCCCAAGAGGTGAAAAATCTGAAAGAGCAGGTAGAAGGAAGAACCAAGGCCCCCGGACGAGCACTGCTAACCGCGTTACCCTTCTCTGCTGAGATCATGGCCTTTAAGTTACCGGGCGACTTTAAGTTCCCGGAGCAAGCCACGTTCGACGGATCAGGCGACCCGCGAGAACATCTATTGAGTTACCAAGCTAAGATGCAAGTCCTAGGAGTTCGGGATCCGGTCATGTGTCGTGCCTTCTTACCCACGCTGAAGGGGCCCGCCCAAAGGTGGCTTGTAGGTCAGCCCCCAGGGTCGATTCACAGCTTCGAGGAACTGGCAGACCGCTTCATGAGCCACTATGCCGCTAACATCAAGCCACAGAAGGATCTGACACACTTAGGCGACATCCATCAGGATGAAGGCGAGTCCTTGAAAGCCTATCTTGCTCGCTGGCAAAAGGAGATCCAGTCAATAGAAGAAGTGGAGGACCAAACAGCGCTCACCTTCTTCATTGAATCTTTGCGATCCGGACAGCTGTATCGGGACCTAAGGGACAACCGCCCGGCGACATACGCGGAGGCTATTCAGATGGCCAACAAGAGGGCCAACACAGAGCAGGCCATGAAGCATAAACAGCAGCGTGAGGTCGGTGGGTCCGCCAGCGGAAAAAGGACGCGGGCGGAGACGAGAGAAAGGCGCTCGAATGCAGCCCGGCGACCCGAGGTCAGGCGACCGTATGACCGCCCCGTCGTTCACACCTATCGACCGGTTCCAGAGCGACCAGTCAACGAAGTACAGGCGGTCGCCCCGCCTCCGCCTCCGCCGATTGACGACCGTGCAGTGGACGAGGATACTGGTAAGACTTCTAAATATTGTCGCTATCACAAAACTTATACTCACAGCACGGAAGAATGCTACTATCTAAAGAAGATCATGGAGGGGATCATCCAGCAAGGGACACCGCCCCCTAACCAATGGAAGCGAAGGTCGACCAGTCGAGGAGGCGAGGGACCCGCCGCCGACGCAGAAAACAGCCGAGGCAAGCAGCCGGCTTCCGAAGAGGACGAAGCCCAATGGCGCCAGAAGCGAGTCATTAACATGATAGTCGGCGGGCCAGAAGGCGGCGATTCCGCGAACACCCGAAAAGCCTGGGCTCGGCAGCTATATGTCGGAACAGTCTATGGTCGAGAAGAGAGCTCCAAAAAGATATGCCGGGAGCCCATCGTGTTCACCGATAAGGACCTGCCAGCCGGGGAAACCCCGCATCGAGACGCGTTGGTCATCGCCATGGACATCAACGGTGTGGTCGTTCGCCGAATCCTGGTCGACACCGGGAGCAGCGTCAACGTACTGTACCTGGAGACCTTTACCAAGATGGGGCTGACCCGAGAACAGCTCAGACCCGTGAACACCCCTCTCGCCGGTTTCACCGGGGACTCGGTGGAGGCGGAAGGGTCCATCACTCTTCCTGTGGAAATCGGCAGCTATCCGGACATACAACAGTTGAGCATGAAGTTTATCGTGGTCGATCTAGCCTGCTCACACAACGCCATACTCGGCCGCCCGGGTTTGGAAGACCTCGGGGCCCTGATCTCAATCGAACATCTATGCCTGAAATTTCGCACGCCGAACGGAATAGGAACGGTGCGTTGTGACCGCAAGGTCGCCCGCGACTGCTATCTGCAAGCATGTAGAGGAATGGGCAAGCGTGGGATGCAGGTCCATGAGATCACCGAGAGGCCCCCTAAGAAAACAGTGATACCTCGCCCAGAGCCGGCCGTCGAGCTAGAGGAAATTGAGATTGACCCAGCACAGCCGAGCAGGCGAGTGAGAATTGGAGTCGGCCTTTTGGAGAAGTTAAAGGGGGAAATCACGAAAGTACTCCAAGAGCACCGGCTGGTTTTCGCCTGGGGCCCAGAAGATATGCCCGGCGTAGATCGATCGATCATATCGCATCGACTCGCCGTAGACCCAGAGCACCGGCCGGTCGTACAAAAGAAACGGTATTTGGCCAACGACCGGAGGGAGTTTGTGAAGAAAGAAGTCAGCACGCTGTTAACAGCCGGGCACGTCCGTGAGGTCAAGTACCCGGAATGGTTGGCTAACGTGGTCCTCGTGCCCAAGCCCCCGACGTGGCGAATGTGTGTAGACTACACTGATCTTAACAAAGCATGCCCAAAAGATCCGTTTCCTCTGCCCCGAATCGACCAGTTAGTCGACGAGACGGCCGGGTCGGCGCTGCTCAGTTTTATGGACGCCTTCAGAGGGTACCATCAAATATTCATGCACCCGGCGGACGAGGAGAAGACTGCCTTCCTAACTCCGGACGGAGTTTATTGCTATCGAGTCATGCCATTCGGACTCAAAAATGTCGGGGCTACGTACACCCGAATGGTCGCCCGGTTGTTCCACCACCTGCTAGGAAAATCGATGGCCGCATACGTCGACGACATGCTCGTCAAGAGTCGAGAGGAGGACAAGCACGCGGAAGATTTAGCCGACTGCTTTAAAGTAATGATAAAGTACAACCTCCGATTGAACCCCAAGAAGTGTGCGTTCGCCCTCCAGGGCGGTAAGTTCTTGGGCTACATGGTCACCAAGCGAGGCATTGAGCCTAACCCAGAGAAAGTACAAGCCATCCTCGACATGCAGCCTCCTACTACTATCAAGGACCTACAATGCTTGACCGGACGACTGGCTGCTCTCAGCCGTTTTCTGAGCAAATCGGCGGATAAAACTGTGCCTTTCTTCGAAGCCATGAAGAAGAAAGAGGGATTCGCTTGGACTGTCGAATGCCAACAGTCGTTCGAGGAATTAAAACAATATCTGTCGACTCCCCCAGTACTGTCTACCCCCCAGGAGGGCGAACCCTTACTGTTGTACCTCGCCGCCTCGGCCAAAGCGGTAAGTTCGGTGTTGGTGCGAGAGGAGGACCGAGTCCAGCACCCGGTTTACTATGTAAGCCGCTCGCTGAAAGTTGCTGAGACACGGTACACCGCCCTGGAAAAGATCGTGTATGCCTTGGTGGTCACCGTGCGCAAGTTGGCGCCTTACTTCCAAGCCCATACCGTCCGGGTCCTGACGGATCAGCCACTCGGGAGTGTGCTACGGAACCCCTTGTCCTCCGGCCGGCTGGTAAAGTGGGCCGTCGAGTTGACTCAATACGGGATCGAGTACCAACCCAGGCCTTCCATCAAAGGCCAAGCTTTGGCCGACTTCCTGGTCGAGTGTACCGCGAGTGAGGAGGAGAAGGAACACGCCTCGGAGAGCAATCCGGGCGAGTGGTGGGAGATACATGCGGATGGAGCATCGAGTCGACAGCACTGCGGAGGCGGCGTTATGCTCATCACTCCGGAGGGATTTCGGCTGTATTACGCCCTAAGGTACCTGTTCTCTGCATCGAATAACGAGGCCGAATACGAAGCAGTATTGAACGGCCTCCGACTCGCCAAGGACCTAGGAGTCGAACGGCTACGAATCAAAACCGACTCCCGACTAGTAGTCGGGCAGATCTCGGGGACGTGCGAAGCTAAGAACGCGAGGATGGCGTTGTACAAAGAATGTGCCACCAAGATGTTGAAGGGGTTCGAAGCTTATGAAATAGAATACATATCCCGGGCGGACAATGTAGAGGCCGACATCTTGTCTAAAATCGCCCTGGAAGGGGTGCCGGACCACTTAATAAAGATTTGCCAGAAGGAGGAGCTAAGTCGGCCGAGTGTCGAAGAGGCGCCGCTAGATGTCCAGCAAGTAAACATCGAAGGGTGGGAACGAGAGAAAAACCCTGAGATGTTCTGGATAGACGACATCCGGCGATTCAAGGAAACGGGCGAGTTGCCAACTGACCCGGCAGTCGCCGCGAGGGTTCGGCGGAAAGCCCCCTCCTTCTGGATCATTGACGGAGACCTATATAAACAGTCGTTCGGAGGACCCCTGCTGAAATGCCTACTTAGGCCTGAGGCCGAGAAGGTAATGGATGAAGCTCATAGAGGCATTTGCGCTGCGCACCAGGGTGCTCACACGCTCGCCCGAAAATTGGTCGTTCAAGGGTATTACTGGCCGACCATGATGCGAGACTGTATTGAACGGATGTCCAAATGTGGCGTTTGTCAGGCATTCGCCAGGAAAGACACTCGGCCAGCCACCTTCTATACACCGGTCACCACTGCCATTCCCTTCGCCAAATGGGGAATAGACCTGTTGGGACCATTACCCGTCGCCCCGGGAGGATTGAAGTTTTGCGTCGTGGCCATCGATTACTTCACCAAGTGGGTCGAGGCGGAACCCTTGGCTACCATCACCGAGTACCAGTGTCGACGTTTTCTGTGGAAAAAGGTGATCTGTCGCTTCGGTTTGCCCGAACACATCGTCAGCGATAACGGGCGACAGTTTGATTGCCAGGCATTCGCCAAATTCTGCCGCCGACACGGTATCAAGCATACCAAGGTGTCAGTGGCCTACCCCCAAGCAAATGGGCAGGTTGAGAATGTGAATCGAACCTTGGTCGATGGGATCCGGAAGAAACTCGAAGACGTCCGAGGAAACTGGGCGGACGAGCTTGATCGAGTCCTATGGGTCTATCGCACTACCCAGCGGCGAGCGACGGGAGAGAGTCCGTTCTCGCTCGCATACGGCTTTGAGGCCAAGGTTCCAGTCGAAGTGGTCGAACCCACCCACCGGGTTCGCACCTACTCGGACGCAGCGAATGAGGAGAACCTGCAGATTGAGAAAAATTTTCTAGAAGAAAGAAGGGAAGCCGCGAGTGCGCGAATGGCTGAGTACCAGCAGGCAGTGAAAAGATACCGCGACCGTAGAACTCGCCCGCGAACCTTCCAGGTTGGCGACCTAGTGCTACGGGATCGACAAGCCAGCCAGCCTACCGAAGGAGGCAAGCTCGCGGTCAAGTGGGAAGGGCCGTACCGCATCGCGGCTGTAGTTCAGGCCGAAACTTACAAATTAGAGACCATGGAAGGCAAGCTTATAGATCGTATATGGAATGCTACACATTTGAAAAGGTTTTATCAGTAGCCAATGATAGGTCATGTATGAGCACGAGGATTCCAAGAAATCTGAATAAAGTGCGTGGGTTACAGCCAATCGTCCCAGGGACTCGGCAAGAGAAAGATAGGAAACAAGGGCCCAGACCCTTAGACGTTTCCGTGAAAAAGCCAAAAGGAGTCGCCTCGACTGAGGGACTCGGCAAGTATATATAAAGAAACAACGGGGCACTGACCCTAAATCGTTTCTAAGTAAAGAAAAAGCCTACAGGGGTCGCCTCGACTGAGGGACTCGGCGAGAAATTAAAGAAACAACGGGGCACTGACCCTAAATCGTTTCTAAGTAAAGAAAAAGCCTACAGGGGTCGCCTCGACTGAGGGACTCGACGAGAAAAGAGAAAAGAAACAAGGGTTCCGACCCTTAGACGTTTCTAGAGAAAAAGAGAAAAGAAACAAGGGTTCCGACCCTTAGACGTTTCTAGAGAAAAAGAGAAAAGAAACAAGGGTTCCGACCCTTAGACATTTCTAGAGGGAAAAGGAGCTACCACCGAAAAGTCGCCTCGACTGAGGGACTCGGCGAATAAAGAAGGAATCGAGGGTCCGAACCCTTAGAAGTTTATTAAAGAAAGAAAAAGTTACAGCCGAGATTCACTTCGACGGCTAAAGAGAAAGGGGCTCAGAGCCAGAAGGTCACATCCACTGAAGCAGTCGGTCATACGGCAAACAAAGAGAAGTCATGAGGATGGAGTCGTGTAGAATGTTGAATAAAGAGTCGGCAAAAATCGAGGGGGCTAATAAAGGAAATTTTGAGGCAAGACAATATACTTTTCCATGCCCTGCTAAGCACGAGACATAGAAAAGTGAGGGACTAGTTGATGGGGTGTGAACCCCGTGGGCTCGGGGCCCAAGAAGAAAAGAGATAAAGCCCAAACAAAGAAGGGAAGCCCAAGAAGAAAATGGAGCAAGCCCAAAAGAGATACGAGCCAAACCGAGGAGTCGGTTGGCCCAGGAGTCGGCTCGACCCGGAGGTCGGCACGGGTAGAGGGTCGGACTAACTAGCCGTTATTCCTAATTATCTACCCTTAAAAGTCCTATTTATCTACCTCATCCATAACCCCCCAAATAAAGGCTACCTATTAAGTCTCCCACTTATTACCCCACTAATAACCAAGTTAATACCTATTAACTACCCTACTAAATGGTCCAACGGACACTTTTGGGGATGAGCTAGCTATAAAATGAGGAGAAGACAAGAAGAAGGGGGAGAACCCAGAGAGGGGAATAGAAAGCACTATTGAGCATCATACTTCACTAAAAAATCTAGACTTTTTGTGAAAGGTGTATCCTCCAGCTTAAGGTTGTGTTGGACCTCCTTGGGCCCGAAAACCCAAAAACCATCAGTACCATTATAGAAATACATACAAAAATATTAATACCATAATGACCTAAATCATTACAATAATGCAAAACATAATTGAAATATTGAGTCTTGTTTTAAATAATCAAAAACAAGATTAATTAAATGAAAAAAAAAAAGTTAACCTAAATTTGTTCTTTTTTTTAAATGTTGTTTTTTTTTTTTTAATGCAAGAAAATGATTTTCAAGGTTCCTGATTTATAATCTTTGATGGTCAACTTTGAATGTTATGTATTTAGTCGGGTTAATTATTTGACCAAAGTTTATGTTGAATTTTATATTATATTTTTTAAATACATTTTTAACATATTTGTAATATATATTTAACAATTGTGTCAACTCTGATTGAATGTGGTTCGAATCTAATACATTTTTCTTATAGAAATTAATGAGTAAGTTAAGAATAATAAATAGTTAACGAAATATTCTGTTATTAAAGTTTATACTAACGGAATGCATGGTTATTTAAGAGAAGAAAATAATATAATGTTGTAATAAGATTAAAACTTATAGGAAAGTGATTACACGCCTGAAAATATCAAATGATCCAGTTTTTGTTCCCTGTTGTATTCTATATTTTTATTGTATCTCAAATGTATTACAGAATACAAGCACTTTCTCCAATATATATATATATATATATATATATATATATATATATATATATATATATATATATATATATATATAGATAGATAGATAGATAGATAGATAGATATAGATATAGATATAGATATAGATATATCCTATCATTTTTTCCTTGCATAATAATTTTTTTTTTTTTTTTGATAATGCATAATAATATTCTTATTTGAGAATTTTGCATTAATATTCGATTTTTGTTTCAGAATATATCTATGTGAACTATGCATGGTCCAGGGTATAAATTGCCAAAATGAAGGTTAAATTTGATTCAAATGATGATGAAGCATTGTGGGGGGAGGATTATATTGACCAATTAAAGTATTCTTACTCTTGTTAATCCTTATTGCCTATAGTATGCCAATTGCCAAAAAATGTATTTGTACTCGACTACTCGATATGATGCATGTAAATAAAATGTCCTTTTGTATCAATGGAACCTTAGATATAATGAAATATTATGATGGCTCTGTTTGGCAAATCTAGCTGAAAAGCTATAAGCTAGGAGCTGATAGCTGAAAAGGAACTGAAAGCTGAAAAGCTATAAGCTCGGAGCTGAAAATTGAGGAGCTGTTATGATTGGAAGTGTTTGGTAAAATTAGCTTTTTGATAAGCTGATAAATGTAAAAAGACTAAAAAGGACATCTTCATAAAATTTAAATTAGTTTGTTTACATATTAAAATTTAACAGTTTGTCTTCCAAAAAAAAAATAAACATTTTTGAAATGTCTCTTAACATATTGATACATTAAATATTTAATTTTGAAATGTCTGTTGATCAATGCAACGTAATCTTATTACATCATCTATATATAGGAAATAGGAAAACACATGGAATTAAATATATGCCACACCATATATATTGCAGCTTAACAGTTAACACATGATCAACAACGTACATAACATCCTCAATCTTCCATGCCACCCTGCTCCAAGCTCCCTCCTAGCTAGATCTCTAGTTTGCAATATAATATGCCAACCCATTTCTTGAATTAGATCATGCATCTCAATTTTCCCATTTTTCACTGATATAAGGGATTTATCAATGAGCACACCTAAATCACTTTCAAGTACATCTCTTACATCTACTTCTCCCCTTTGTTTCTTGAAAAGACGTGCAATATGCAAAAAGATTTTTTTGTTGTTGTCATCAAGTCCATCAAAACTTATCCTAAGCTTGGCATGAATATCATCATAGGGGGTGTTCTTGAATTGCTCTAAAGTGCTTTCCCATTCAGCAGCCTCTAGTCTACAAAGAGAAGACCCCAAAACTTTAAGTGCTAATGGAAGACCATTACAATAACGCACAATTGATCCACAGAGTTCTTCAAAGCTAGACTTAGGAATTTTCTTTGGCTCAAGTGTCAAATCGCACCATGAACCAATTGCGATATGTCATGCCGCACCCTGAACTTACATAAGTGATTATTCGATTCACAAACTAAAAAATTTTGTCCACCTAGCTTTTTTAGCAGGTTGCCTCCAAGTAACAAGTTATAACTTGATGATGTGGAGGTTTTTTATTTTCTTTTTTTCTTTCTTGCTGATGTGGAGGTATTTAGTTGGCAGCCCTTTCACCATTTATATTAAATAATATAAAGTAACCTCTGTTATACTCTTCCATGGCCGATCTTCGTCACAAGGCTATAATCTATCGAAATCGGCGATCAAGAGACTCCAGGCCAGCAATGATCTTTCGCGACTTTTCAGAGCAATCTCCCACTCCTTTTGTTGCTCCACCTATACCTTGAGGAAGAAGACCTCCTCTTCTTTGACTTGACATGATCTTCTGATGATTCACTGGCTTCAGAAGACTCTGTTTCACTCTCATCACTCATCATTCTACTTCTACTTTTCTTCTTCAGACTACTCCTTTGGTGCCGCCTTCTCTTCAATCTCCTCCTCCTAGCTTCAGCTTCTGAATCATCACTTGAATCAGCGGATTCACTCTCACTTTCAGACACTGATCTTGATCTCTTGCTTCTACGTCTAGAACCAGATTTCCTGCTCTTCTTAGACTTCCTGTATCGTGAACCATCCGATTCAGATTCAGAAACAGATTCACTCTCCGATGAATCATCACTCGACCTCTTAGACTCCAACTTCGAGCTTTCCTTTTTCTCATTCTCTTTTTCCTTCAAATCGTTGTTCTGCCTTTAGTCAATAAAGTCTTGATCAACGTCCTCTGGCTCGTTCTCACCCCTAGGTGGGCTATGAGAGGAAGGCTCATACCTTGAGTAGTCTGGACTACGGCTACGACTCCTACTGCCGCTGAGACTGCGACTCCGGCTTCGGCTAGGGTTACGGCTGCGACTCCGATAGCGACGACGATAAGAATCGGATTCCGGAGAGTAACAGCCACGGTCACGGTCGCGGCCGCTATCTCTGTGGCTCCGGCGCCGTTCTTCTGGGATTTCAATCGCAGAGGTTAGTCGACCCATTCCACGATAGGCTTTGACGAAGAAGGGGAAAATTGCTGTGGTTTTGGAGATAAAAGCTTGGACGACAGTCTTGAAAAACTAAACTTCATGATCTGAGTAAGCTTATTTGACCAAGCAAAGACTGACTTAAAACAAAAAAATTTCCACATCAACACATTACCTGTGCCATGTCATCAAGGCAACTGGGAAACCTGTAAAAAAGGCTAGGCGGACAATTTTTTTTGGTTTGTGAATCGAATAATCACTTATGTAAGTTCAGGGTGCGGCATGACATATCGCAATTGGTTCATGGTGCTATTTGGCACTTGAGCCATTTTCTTTTTAAAGGCATAGAAACTAAACAGTTGAATAGCTTCCTGCTCTTTCAATGTATCTACTTGGTATATATACTTTTTATCAACTCCATGGGAACGCAATACTCCTACATCTCTTGTGGTTATAATCACTCTACTACCGCTACCAAACCAATCACCACCTCCCGCTAATTTCTCTAATTGTTCCAGCTGGTGGTCTACATCATCAAGAACAATCAACACTTTTTTCCCTTGAAGCCTCCTCCTTATCTTCACCATTCCATCTTGCAGATTGCTTATTTTTACTCCTGATTTTTCCTTTAGGATTTTTGTTAAAAGGGTCTTTTGCAATTCAATGACATTATGTTGTCTAACATCAACAAGAAAACAAGCTCCATCAAATTGGAGGCAAAATCTATTAAAAACAGCCGTTGCAATTGTTGTCTTACCGATACCTCCCATACCACAAATGCCAATGAATCCAACATCATCATCATTATCATCAGATGCCAACCTCAACCAGTTACCAATGTTGATAACGCTAGATTCCAACCCCACTAAGTTCTCCTCAAAGGCTAGCGATGTGACGAAACAAGCAGGTATAGCTATAATCAAACTGATGAGTTCATGATGATGCAGTGAAGAGAAGAAAAATGGAGTGTGTTCATTGTTGCATTCATCAGAAAGATAGGAAAGTGAAGTCTGATTACAAAGAAGGATAACTGCCATCCTTTATACTAATGAGACAGTTATAACGGAATAACAGAAATACAAATAAGGCTGGAAAAGACAAGATTGCCCTCAGCTTCATTCTTCATCCTTTCTCATTGGACATAGCAGTATCACATCTATCCTTCATCACGATGCATGATTCAATCGAGCATGTATGTCGGCTGCAACGTTTTCTGCACATGTTGCTTCGTATCTGACAAGATTGAACTAACATCAATAATTGTAACATTGATAGCATTGAGACATCTATATTAAATTAATTTCCATCATTTCATGCATCAGAAAAAGTTGCAGTTGTTTTCTTAATGAAAATCCTTAACGAAAGGACGTCTATACTAACAAAAATATTCGCACTACTTTTATAATTATAATCACTACTTGCATAGAAATTAAAAATAAAAGAAGAAAGTAAGCACAGAAAAACAACTGAGCAAATATTAAAGGGCAGGCATAATTAAAGATGAATCTTATGAGAAGAGGAAGTTGAAAGCATACTCGTTATAGTCATTCTTCAAATGATACCCTTTGAGTTGGCCAGCCTTGTTTAAGGCTTCCTTCCATCTTGTTACCTTCTCATCATCCTTGCCAATTTTTTCATGCAATTCTTTGAACGAATCTTCAAAACTTCCTTTTTGATTCCGGACATCTGTAGGCTCCACGTGGTAGAAAATTGGCACCACAATTTGGTCCTCCAACTTTTCTTGGCATTCCATGACTGTTGCAAGTTCTTCCAAACACCATTTTGACGAAGCATAGCCTTTGGAGAAGACTGCGATAAAAAACTTTGATTCCCGAATAGCATTTGGTAGGCTCTGAGAGATGCAGTCTCCTTTCTCCAGTCGATCGTCATCTTTGAAAGTGCGAATCCCTTTACGTTCTAACGATTCAAAAAGGAAATCTATAAAAGTTTTACGAACATCTGGACCTCGAAAACTCAAGAAAACATCATACGTCCATCCCTGAGGGGATGGCGAAGCAGTAACAGAAGAAGAGGTAGAAGCCATATATTGATATGATATGGCCGGAATTGGATCGGTCGGGTTCCTCTAACACATGCAGGGAAGTAATTACTAATTAGAAGGGAGATTGAAAAGCATATAATATATGATGAACAAACAAAACTACAATAGTCGTCTCAGATAATTTCATCGGATTCTTCAGGTAGCTGGGCGACACTCCTGCTAAAAATTGTAGCAATAATTGATAAATAATAAAGACAATTAATGCGTAGAAGAAAAGGACCATTGGGCCCTATCACTCTCCACTAGGCAAATTATTATGTTGAGCATGTGAATATAAAAAATACATTATATGTATAAATTATAAAACATTGTGACAAAATATTGGTCAACACAATGTTATGTAGACCATAGTAAAAAGTACATTTTTAATATACTAAATGTACATTATTTTTGTACTATGTGTACATTATATAATATAATATACACTCAGTACAAAAATAATGTACATCCCCTGAATACAATATACATTATTTTTGTACTAAATGTACATTATTTTTGTATTGAATATACACTATTTTACAATATACAAAATATGGTCTATACAACTTGTATGGACCATGGTCCACGCAATAATGATCCAAAAGACTGTACTCACAAAAATAAATTATAAAAGACTAAATAATATTCATAAATTGTTTTAAATAATGTTTCAAAAATAAAATCAAAATATTTTAATGATTTATTTTTATTTTACTCTCTAGAGACATATTTAAAATGTATGTATGCATTTAATATGTTTTAATTACTTATAAGAGAAAACATAATACATTTGACGACAAGTAAGATTAATCTTTAATTAGTCGCCAAAATTAAAATAATAAATAATAGAGTTAATTCCACCGAAGGTCTTTTGTCTGTAGTGGCAATTCCAAATTTAGTCCCAGACTATCGTTTTTGTCATTTTACATCCCAGATTATTGTTTTTTGGATACTTTTAGTCCTTCTCATGATTTTTTCTATTTTTAATAAGGACATTTTTGTCTCTCTATTTTTATTATTTTTTGTTATTTTTCCGATTTCAGCCAGTTTAATTGGTTTAAAACTTTAGGTAACCTCTGATTTTTAGTAATCATATTTTCAACCAATTTTTAGTAAAGTCCTAAACCAATTAAACTTGTTGAAACCGGAAAAATAGCAAAAGAAAAATACGAAGAGACAAAAATGTCCTTACTAAAAATAGAAAAAGTAATAATTAATAAGGACAAATTTTGTGTAAAAAAAAAAAAAAGTTAGTCTAGTATGAAATGTATAATACTTTTATGTACTCCCACTTTTTACCCTTAATTTTTTACTTTCTTTCACAAATCTTTTATATAGATTTTTCTTTGGGACTCACGTGATAAAATATCTCATCATTGTTTGTTACATTACATCATGAAATAAAAATGAATGAGTAGAATTTAGAAGTAAATGTAATAGAACTCAATTGATTTTTTTTAACAGTAGAACTCAATTGATAAAGACAAGAGTTAATGACCAATTTGTTCCTTTGACTATAGTGAATTTATCAATTTGGTCATAAACTATTATTCTTCTTCTCTCAAATATTTTCTACTAAACCATTAAACTAAACCCGTGCGGGTACTATTATTCTTACCTAATAAGTAATAAGTCTTCAACTATGAAACCTTACTCAATTTAGTCCTTCCGTTAAAATTTCATCCATAACTGTTAAATTTAAGGACAAAAAGGTAATTCACTTCTCTATGCTTTTCTTTTACAACGTCTTTCCTCTCCTTGGTACCGAATATAGTTATGAACACGGAGAGTAGAGCAGCCGCAAGGAGGAGGAAGAAGTAAGAGAAGTCAGGTTCCAGGTATGCATTCTGTTATATGTCTGTGTCTATGTGAGTCTGTCATTATTTTTGTATGTCTGGACTTTGAGAGTAATATTCAAATGGTTGAGCTTCGAATTTCCATTCAGCATACCAAGTTTTTATTGCTCACATCATGTGTTCGTAATAGTATTGGGTACCAAGGAGAAGGAGAACCAAGAAGAAAATCATAGCAGTGAAATGACTTTTTTGTCTTTAAATTTATGGATAAAATTTTAATAAAAGGATTAAATTGAATAAGATTTTCAAAGTTAAGGATTTTATTGGATAAAAATAATAGTCAAAGATTAAATCGGTAATTTTGCTATAATTAAATGATTAAATTGGTTATTAACCTAAAGATAATAATGTGTACAAATAAAGGACCGTTGGGCCCTATCACTGTCCACTATTTACCCACAAATTTCTTAAAAGCTGAGCGCCACTACGATCCAGTCTAATTTTTTTTTTTTTTTTTTTTAAAGAAATCCAGCTTTTAAAAGTTGGTAACCACAATTCAAGAAAGGAGGTAAATTATACCATGAATCAAGGTTAAGACTGTGAATTTTGATCCATTATTTATAAATAATTTATTCATATTTTATTAATACTTGTGCAATAAGAATTGATATTTGCTCTCTATTGTATCTTTACACACAGGGATAATTAAAGGAAAATAATAAAAGGAGTAAAACTCCCCTAAATATTTTAATTTTATTTAAGAAACGAAAAAGTGAAAAAATATTAAAATGAGAGATCTGAATAAAAGGTGAATTGATTTAAACACATTTTTTTAAATATTTTACTCCGTATAAAATAAAATGAGAACCAACTGAACTACAGATTATTTATTAGTAACATTATAAAGTTCTGTTTTACAAAATTAAGAATATGATGATAAGTATGGAGATATTAGGAAAGTGCATTGCTGTTTAAAAAGGGTTTCCATTACTCAACAACACACACACAGAAATCTAATTGTAATATAAAATTTAGAAAAGAAAACATACCACACCGTCGATCACGTTTTCACCAATCAAGAGGCTTCACAGTGATGCCATAAGAAAAAGAAAAAAAAAGGTCACAAATACGGGTTGAATATGGGAAGCTGTGAGATCAGAGAAGGGTCAAATATGGAGGTCTGAGAGAGAAATAAAGAAGGGTTGAATATGGAGATCTGAAAGAGAGAAGGGAGACAATATATAGAGATTTGTGTGAGGAATTGAAGAAAGCTAGAGAAGGTAGAGAGGCTTAAATTAAGAAAGCTAGCTGCGTGCCACTCCAGCTTAGATCCAATGCAATAATTAGTGGAGCGTTATGCTGTGAAAACGTGCAAGGTGGGCATGGTTCTATATTCATAATTTTTATACTTTAAATTTATAAAATTTATATTTTAGATTCATAATTTTTAAATCGTAGATTTATAATTTAAATACAATAGATTCATAATTTTTATACTGCAGATTCAGGGACGGAGGGAGAGGGGGGACAGGGGAGGCAGCTGCCCCCCCTCACCCCACCCCCACCTCCACCCCATATATAGTATTTGTATGTATATATGTATATATAATACATATTTTAGTATTAGTATTGATAGTGCTAATTGCCACGTAAGCAGTGATTAACACATGCACGACCAAGTAAAGCAAATAAGTCTTTTATTGATTGAGGTGAAGGTCCTAAGTATAATCTAAATGACTGCTCGGGTACAGACTGAATGCGGTCGGGTTGCTCTGATAACGGTCTAGCGATTGTCCAAAAGATCCTCACACTGTCGCAATGACGGGTATTTATAGTCGCGACGTCGGAGACATAACCCGGGCTTTCCGGCCAGCCCGACACGTGGCGAAACACGTGTCACCCTCTCCGGTGCCTCGCTGTCCCCGCCAAGTGCCAACACGTGTCTTTCCTCAGCTCTTGCCTAAGGTCCCTCGGTCGGGAACTGAACATGCCGGTCTGGAACCGACCGGGTTTCTGCTAAAAATCCCGCCCTGTGATCTGTAAAAAGAGGAGGAAAGAAATGAAGGTGCGCCGGTCGGGTAGGGCCCAGGCCGATCGGGGTATTCCCTATCAAGTATAAAAAAACTATAAAATCTTAATAAGAGGTGAGTTAGAGTAAGTGGTAGAACACATTATTGGTAATAATGAGGTTAAGGGTTCTAATCTTAACATTAACATAGTTCCAATCATAAATTATAGAGTTGTTTACTAAATAATTTTTATTAATTAGTGGATAACTTAATAAGGCTTAAGATCTCATAAGAACATATTTATAAGAAAAAACTAAGAACAAATCTCAGCTTTGCATTTGTAAAAATTTAACGAATCCGATCAATTTTTATTTTTTTTTAATGTGGTGGCATATTAGTAATTATCATGAATTTCACCATGTAAACTTTAACACTTAATATGCCGTCTTTAACAACTAATAAATATGCAAACTTGGTAAATTGTATAAAATTAATGAAAAAAAACTAAAATTTAAATCTAAAGGGTAAATAGTTCAATTTGGTGCATTCAATTTTGTCAAATGCAAGGTTGATATTAATTTTTAATTTTCTCCTAAGGATTTATTCTCATATAATCTAATACCTACCTTATACACTACTAATTATTTATAAATTGTTTTAAATAATGTATAAAAACTAAAAAATAATATATTATTGGTGATTTATTTTTAGTTACTCCTTTAGAGACATATTTTATGTATGTATATATGTATGCGTACGTTTAACACATTTTATTGGCTAACAAATAATTTTGATGGATTTATTGGAAATATGAAAAGTTATTTTATGCGGTGTAATAAAGAAAAGCTTTGTAGCTTTTCAGCTAGTATATGATTTTTAATAGTAATATGATTTTTACAACAATTATGTATATGATTTTTAATAGTAATAATTTAAGCTTTGCATCTTACACAATTTCATCATTGATGTTATCATTTAATTTAATTTAATTTAATTTAATGTCAATCTAAGTTACATATGGCCACACTAAACTACAATGAAAAGGTTTCCATTATTCAACCATCACACAAATGCAATTGCATTGCATTATCTCACTATATTCTTCATATTGATTGTGAAAACATGAGTATATTAATTAATATGGTTGTTTGTAGTCCCAATTGTGCAGAAAGCCTAAAACTTTTTAACTTGGACAAGGCCACCTTCCCTCTTTCCATATTCAAGCATTGCTTCTAAAACTGCAACATCCCTTGTCCCTAAAGCATAATTACCCAAGAAAAGACAAAAGGAAAAAGGTTCTAAAGACTAAAGCAAAGAGAACCAATTTTTCATGCCTTTGGTGATCTTGATGATACAACCATCACAAACACTCCAGAACATCCATTCTCCAGTTGACTAGAAAGATAAGTAAATTCACCAAAGTTAGTTACTATTGCATTTTGTCAAAATGAAATAGTCAGTTATTAAAGTTGAAAGAACTTACAACAATACATAAATATTATTAAGAGGAGGCAATGTCATATCAACATGAGAAGTCATAGCAGAGACTGATGTTACCTCACATCTAAGAAGCTGGTCATTTAACTGATGAAAAAAGAAATAGTTAAAAACACAAGCCAATAGAGTGATTAAAATTGCAAATGAAGATCAAATCAAATAATGCGCGTTAGGAGTGTGGAAATGCCAAGAAGAGTGACAGAGGTCATATAAGTATTATCATTTATCACGGCATCAGTATTTTGCTAGGAAAATTCTTTAGAATCTATTTTCTTCAATTCAGCTCCGGTTTAGCTAACTAACATGAAATCTTGAAAAAGATGTAAAAGACATTTGAACCCAAACTATATAACCATCAATATAATACTTTATCATCAATTTGTTTGCAAGAGCATGCCTAGCACTGATAATCCAACTTTCATTGCATCTCCAGTTATGTTGTAATTCTTCACTGTACAGGACATATCCAACATGTTACAATGAATAAATATAGGACTAAGTAAAAATACCGCCTAGCAGAAAACCTCAGAATATCCTATGAAGAAAGATATAGTCAATTATCATTCTCAATCTGGCCACAAAATGCACACACATGTCTAAAATGAAACCTACCTGAGAAAAAATTAAAATGAATTCAAAATTAAAATGAAAATTACTTGAACAAGTCATTAAATTTTAAAACTTTACAAGTCTATTCACTTCTTCTAGACTTGTACCTTAACCCTTCAGAATCAATAAGTAGTATTAGAACAGTTGCCTGGAACAATAAACCCTCTGTGTATACTGCCTTATAATCCGCATTTCAAAAACAAAATCATTTTAAGTTGTACATAAATTTTTCTTGAAAATATGGATCATCACATGTCCAAGAACTTAATGTTCAACCTTAAAAGTGAAAAAAAAAATATAAATTAAAAGTCTACGCAGTCAAACTCTTTTTCCTAATTCATTTGTACATAGAAAGGACTCTATTATTACTCCGCATGTGAGTTAAGACTATTCAATCAATATCACTGTCCAAAGATTGTTCATATCAATTATCAGTGTCCACTAGGCCACTAATCTACTTAAATACACTCCTGTTTGACCCGGTCTTGCAAAGAAACCAACAAGACAGACAAAGAAATATGAATGTTTTCACATGGACATAACCAAGTTGCACCTTCAACGAAGATGAGGTGTATATTTAAATATTATTAATGTAAATTTACTTAAAACATTAAAATGATGGATTTATTGGAAATATGAAAGGCTTATTTTCTGCGTTGTAATTATATAGAATGTGGTTGCTATGAAATTGGACCAATGCTAAGCAGCTAGCTTTAATGATCAAATTGGAATGGACCATTGAAATTGGAATCTTTTTTTGTTTGTAATAAAAGAGTTGATAAAGACCATTCATGTGGAAAGAAAGGATTCACATCATTACCCAAAGAAATTAGCCATACATAACATGACAAACATGTACGAATGTTTTCACGTGAATTGCGCCTTCAACGTATTTGGGTACAAAAAATAATTAAAAGTATTACGGCCTTTGGCTCGTTTAAAAATATTTGAAGGCAAATAGAATTAAAATTTCATAAAAAATACATAACAACAACAACAGTAGTAGTAGTAGCAGCTGCAACAGCTGCAGCAGGAGCAGTATTTGGAGAAGTAGGAGCAGTAGTAGTAATAGCAGTAGCAGTAGCAGTAGCAGTAGTAGTACTAGTAGGAGAAGTAGCAGTAAGAGAATTATACTCTGCTTCACTTAAAATGTCAATACTAAATGTAGAAATATAGAAAAGTCTTAAAAATTATCAATTTTGATGTTTAAGTTTGCATAATAAAATTTATGATAATTACGAAAATATTACCGTATTTTTTTAAATCTGATTTGGTGCATTATACTTTTTCAAATGTAAAGTTGAGATTGGTTTTAGTTTTCTCTTAAGAATTTGTTATCGTATAATCCAATACCTACCTTATAAACTACTAATTATTTATAAATTGTTCTAAATAATGTATAAAAACTAAAAATTAATTATTAGTGATTTATTTGTAGTTACTCCTTTAGAGACATATTTTATGTAGTTACTCCTTTAGAGACATATTTATGTATGTATATATGTAGCAGTGTGGGAGCTACCTCTCAAAGTGCCCTTGTGCGCAGTGAGCAAAGGTCTAGCCTTTGTGGTTCATGTTCAGTTGAGTTACCATGATTTACATCATTCCAAATGCTCTGTCGGGTCGGAGTGTGGGGGCCCTTAGGATGGGGGTTCAACCTTTTGGAAGAATGTATGTATATATGTATGGCGTACGTTTAACACATTTTATTGGCTAACAATTAAATTTGATGGAATTTATTGGAAATATGAAAGGCTTATTTTATGCGGTATAATAAAGAAAAACTTTATAATGTGTTTCTATGTTGATGATAAGGAATGCGTGATCGTTTCATTAATATTCGAATAAATACAATTTTAATCTCACATGTATTAGCAAAATGACAGTTTTGATCTATCCACGTTTAATTCCTACAAATTTTTATTCACGACTACTATTTTAATACCAATTTTCATCCAAGACTATTATTTTAGTACCAAAATTCATGGTCACTCCTTCATTTAAGGGAATGTTATGTTGTGAGCACGTGCCCACCTTGCAAGGTGGGCACGATTTTATATCCATAATTTCTATACAGTATATTCATAATTTATATACTATAGACCCATATTAGAGTAAAATCTTTGCTATATGTTCAGATTTTTTATTAAAGTTAGGACGAAAGTAAAAATACAAAAACATAAAAAAAAAAAAAATACTAAGGGGTCGTTTAATTCAT